TTACTTACCAAATTTCCCCAGAAGGTGATCCTATGTTTCCCTAAGAGACTTTAAACTCGGTATTTTCCCTGAGTTTTTTCCCTAGTTTAGTGCACTTTTCCCCCAGTTTAGAACCCTAATACAAATTTAGCATTATTAGGTTTCAGCTTCCCTGCCACGTAAAGAAACTCCCTGCTGTCAAAATACTTCACTGTAGAGGAGGGGGTACTTTTTCTCTTCTCTCTCTCTCTCTCTCTCATTCCTTCCTTCCTTCCTTCCTTCCTTCCTTCCTTCCTTCCTTCCTTCCTTCCTTCCTTCCTTCCTTCCTTCCTTGACTTTAACGCTAATATAACCTTATTGGGTATCGAACTTTCTCTGTGTGATGGAATTTGTTGGTGAAAATAACTTCATGAAGCCAATGCACTCTCTCTCCCTTTCTCTTTTCTCTCTCATTTTCTATCTCGTTTTCTGTCTGGTTGTTTTTCTGTCTCTGTTTTTGCCAGGGCGTCTGTCTCGTCTGTCTGTCTGTGTATCTGTCTGTCTGTCTGTCTCTCTCTCTCTCTCTCTCTCTCTCTCTCTCACACACACACACACACACACACACTTTTTTCGCCCCCTAAATATAATCATATTTCACTGCGTCTATTGAACAGCTTCGTGAAAATACCGACTCAGAATGACATCTAAAATACACTTGAGACCTTATCGTAAGTGGCTACCGTCTCTTATCTGTTAGTTACTGGGGGGAGGAGAGAGTCATTAGCATAGGAAGGTTTGAGAATTTGATTATATTGTACCATCATCTATCTTACGTGGTTTTGGGTGGCTGTGGATGCCTCTGGTTGATGTTTTGGTTATTGGATGGTCTTTCTGGTTGATGTTGGGTTGATTTGGGTTGATGTTGGGTTGATTTGGGTTAATGTTGGGTTGATTTAGGTTAATGTTGGGTTGATTTAGGTTAATGTTGGGTTGATTCTGGTTAATGCTCTATATAGTGTCTTTTGGTTGATAATAAAGATATAAGAGGGAGAATTAGTGGTGAAGTTTGAGGTAGAGATGAAGTGTGAGGGGATTAGTTAGGTGTGAGGGGATTAATGAAGTGTGAGGGGATTAATGAAGTGTTGAAATAAATCAAAGCAAAACAAAAAATCCCTTTCTGAATCCCGAATTGAATCATAAATCATAAGGAAAAAATTCGAAGGAGATGAATGTTTTTTCTGAACCCCTAAGCTGAGGCAACTTTACCTAAGGGTCTAATCTGCTTCCAACATCACAGTAATGGTTCAAAGAATCTGTCTCTTAACGCAACATACACATGACTGTCCAACGATGTCATTAAGTTAGTGGGAATTTTTTCGAAGATTCATAACAGTCAATATTGTTAGTGTGGGTGTGGTGAGGGTGTGGTGAGGGTGTGGTGAGGGTGTGGTGAGGGTGTGGTGAGGGTGTGGTGAGGGTGTGGTGAGGGTGTGGTGAGGGTGTGGTGAGGGTGTGGTGAGTGTGATGAAAGCTCTCATCAACACCATCACCCATACACACTAACACCAACAACCACTCACTATCACACCATCACCAACACCCACACACGATCTCCCACACTATCACCAACACCATCTCCCACATTCACTATCACCATCTTCACTATCACCACTCTCAACTGATGGTGGTACGGTCTAACACCATACTGAGATTCGCTTGATCATCACACAACAATATCCACAAACTGAACCCAATTTACAGGAGCTATTTTTGTGGTACACTTAGGCAGGCGGTGAAGGCTATAACCACTGTTAACTCCGATGCCAAGTTTCAGGAAAAGCTTTTTGAAACGTAAAGGAGATTGTTATGTAATTCAGTATGTTTTTATCACTCCTTCCTTTCCTCCTTCCCTTCCTTCCTTCCTTCCTTTACTCTCTCTCCTTCACTCCTCTCACTACTTCCTTCCCTCTCTCCTTACCTTCCCTTCCTTGAGAGTAATTTATTTTTAAGGGGGAATAATAATTATAGATTCATTATTTATATTTATATATGTGTGGGGGGGGGGGCGTGGCTGAGTGGATACAGCGCTCCCCTCCTGTCCTAAAGGTCACCGGTTCGATCCCCGGGGCACTTACAGTCTACCAAGCAGTAAATGAGTCCCTAACCTAACCTTATATTTTGAGGAAGTGATGAAGTACAGCGATACACCAACACTGTCCCTCGTGGGTAGTCACGCCTATGGAAGTCAGCGTCACTTATAAACATCATAAATATTAATCTCATTCAATGTAAACAATGCAGGAAGGAAGGGAACGGAGGGAAGGATACAAGAAGGAAAGGAAGGAAAGAGGGCAAGAGGAACGGAAGGAAGGAAGGAAGGAAGGAAGGAAGAAGGGAGGGGCTGATACACTCAATGTGTCCCTGCAAGGAATATGCAATATAGCCTAAAGCTGAGTTGTGATTGGGCTGGAAACAGAGACTTCTCGAGGACATGGTGAGGTGGAAGATGAGGGAGAGATTCATCCTAGCGATACAAAGAGATCCTGTGACTAGAGTCCTACATAAAGTGACTGTGTCGGTGTGTGTGTGTGTGTGTCTGTGTCTGTGTGTGTGTCTTACGCCCCCCTCGTTAATTTGTCCCATTCATTCGTTCACATCCGTCAACCTCTCTTTAATTATTCCTCCAATCACTCGTTCACATACCAGACACTATGGAGCCATAATTAATCCCACTGAAAACAAGAAACATTTCAATAATCTTTTCTTCATTTACAAAAACCTTTTCCTCATTTTCCTATCACTTATTCTTCTCATTTATCAAACTATTACTCATTATCTATATTATTTCCATCATTTATCATCTATTACCCCACTTATCCTTTGTTTTATTACTTCTATCTTCCGCTCCAATTGGTAAAGAATTAGCACAGGAGTTATGGGTCAAGTAAGGCGTAAACATAGGTAAGACTCGAACCATTATTACCAAACTCTCGTAAATCATCATCGACTAACAGCCTTGTTCGCCTTGTTGTTGTTGTTATGAGTAGTGGCGACGATGATATATTGAGAAAGTTGTACCCTGGAAATATCCAAAGAGTGCCACTAACAATAGCCTCTTGGTTTGTGTCAGGATTTTGATTAGTTCCTGTGTGGATATGGGCTCTCTCACCAACATCACCTCCACACTTCACCAACACCACCTCCACACCTCCACACCTCACCTCCACACCACACCTCCACACCTTCCCAACATCAAGTTCTCACAGCAACACAAAATAAATTCCACACTAAGGGATTAAACAGCCAGTAAAAGTGCCAGCAATATACAACAGTCCCGGGGTGTGGGTAAGTGGTGGTGATGGGTGGAGTGGGGTGTGGGTAAGTGGTGGTGATGGGTGGAGTGGGGTGTGGGTAAGTGGTGGTGATGGGTGGAGTGGGGTGTGGGTAAGTGGTGGTGATGGGTGGAGTGGGGTGTGGGTAAGTGGTGGTGATGGGTGGAGTGGGGTGTGGGTAAGTGGTGGTGATGGGTGGAGGGGTGGGTGGTGGTGAGGGGTGGGGTGGGGTGTAGGTGAGGGTGGTGTGGTAAGGGGGGTGTGTGGTGATGGGTGGAGGGGTGGTGGTGTATAGGTGGAATGGGGTATGGGTAAGTGGTTGTGGTAGGTGGAGTGGGGTATGGGTAAGTGGTTGTGGTAGGTGGAGTGGGGTGTGGGTAAGTGGTGGTGATGGGTGGAGTGGGGTGTGGGTAAGTGGTTGTGGTAGGTGGAGTGGGGTGTGGGTAAGTGGTTGTGGTAGGCATTAAGTGTAGGTCGTGGTGGTAGTTGGTGTAGTAGGGTGTAGGTACGGTGTAGTGGCGGCAGCTGACCTAACCTCCACAAAAATTACACTTTAAATAACAGTTCACTAAATCGTATCATTACAAACCACAAAACATCAAAAGAATATTAAATCGTCAACACATTATTAATATCCTCCTCTGACGCCCCAGACAAGAATACACGCAGCAAATAACTCCTATTGGCCAGCAGGATTAAGCATCAGCCAATCACGGTATCCCTGCACCAGTTGTCAGGACGACCGGACAGTCCTGATTGGCTGTGATGGAGACAGAGATATACCGTCCCGTCTTACCTGTGTGCGTGAGACAGACAGACAGACAGACAGACAGACAGGCAAACAGACAGGCAAACAGACAGAGAGATAAATACAACTATATACGTATGAACATTTAAAGAAAATATTCGGATAAATGGAATATTATTACGGTAGAATGAAGGTCAACTATTCAGATTTAAATTCATTCTGAGAGACTTACTAATAAATCCTTCACTAAGAGGATTTATAACGCGAATGTAAAGAAATTATTATATATATCTATTTTAACAGGTGAGAATATGAAAGCATTAAATCGGTGTCGCATACAGAAGGATTTGCCGATAATGGGTTTCAATCGGCTGTGTTTGTCTAGTGGGGGGATGATGACGTGTTTGTGCCTGTCTGTGTGTGTATGTGGGGGTATGTGGATGTGTGTGTGTGTGGAAGTGGTGCTAGTGTCTGGTGCTAGTGACTGGTGCTAGTGACTGATAATAACTAGTAATGACTGATATGTAAAGAGAGCCATAAGAGGTCTGTGACTCGTGTTAAAATGAATCAGCTTTTCTCACCACAAAACTCTACCACTAAGCAGTAAGTCTTTGGCCCCTTTGATGACGCGCCTTCCCGTCAACTAGTCTAATTAATTGCTTCTTTACAGACCAGTGAAATAGGTCACTTAGCTAACGAGTCTCACTGTATGTCAATATATTTTGTAAGTTGATATATATTAAGCTGTTTATAAAGGTGAGGTGGCCGAGTGGATATAGGGTCTCAATTCGTGTCCTACGGGTCTGTGGTTCGATCCCAAGGTATTCAATTGTAAATGGGTAACTAACTTAATTTTACAGGGTTTCTGTCTTTCGTTCAATAATTTTTAACTCTATTAATTAACGCTCATTCCACAGGTTTAATGTTCACTAACCAACTCTACCCTCTTGTTCATCCTATAGGTTCACAACGCAACGGCAGTGTTCATCATCAACCTGACACTCTCTGACCTGATGTTCGGGGTGTTCAACTTACCCCTGGCAGCCTCGTTGTTCGTTCACCGGGCGTGGGTACATACGTGGTTCCTGTGCCTACTGTTCCCTATCTTGAGGTACGGGCTGGTGGCTGTCTCTGTCTTCACTGTCCTCGCCATCACCATCAATCGCTACGTCATGATCGCCCATCCTCGGCTCTATCACAGGTGCGGCCTTCTGTCTGTCTGTCTGTCTGTCTGTCTGTCTGTCTGTCCGATTGTTTTGCATGTATCTGTTTATATTTTTTGTCTCATACATACATACATACATACATACATACATACATACATACATACATACATACATACATACATACATACATACATACATACATATCAAAAGCACTACATATATATATATATATATATACCATTCTCCACTCGTGAAAATGCATAGAACAATGTAAACTTCCTACCACGAAAATATAACATCATTTCACAGTGTAATTTAATCTCGCGTCGTTCAGCTGTATAGCGGTGAACAGGTTAAGTAAAAACAGAATATAAATAACCAATACCTGAGCTAAAGGAGAGCTAGGAATACACAAAGGCTTTAATTCACAACAACAATGACCTGGAAACACGAGAGTGGACCATTTTTGTCACTATTTTGTTTACATTTTTTTTTCAATATTGGTCGTTTGGGTTAGGTGATGGTTGAAGGTGATTTTCGTATGTTGTTTAGGGTCTTTTTTGTAAATATTGTTAAAGAAATGTTTTTACCTCATTTGTTTTATCAGAGTAAATATTTTCAAAGTTGGGATTTTCCTGAGTATATTTTAGATAGAAATCGTCAACACAATCTTTTATAACGTGTAGAAAGAAGTAACCAAGCGCGACCTGACCTGACCTGACCTAACATAACGAGTTTCGAAAATAGTCTATAGATAAATAAGGGTAATTAGGTTAGGTCAATTCTAGCTGATGTGTTTTGCTTGTTATACAGTAAGTGTTGCCAGCCTGTGTTTATGGTTTAACTATGAAATTTTTTAGGCTCGTGGCGTTTTAAATATGTTTAATTACTTCATGTGTTTGTTGGTTGAGCCGATGGCTTATAATTTGTTGTTGGGAGAAAAGTTGTTAACACGTAGTTACCGTTGCAGGTTGTACACGCGGACGTGGTTGGCCATCATGGTGGTGTCGACGTGGATTGGTGCATTTGGTGCCCTGGTGCCGACGCTGCTGGAGTTCTGGGGCACCTTCGGGCTTGACCCAGCCATCGGGTCCTGTACCATCTTGCCTGACAGCGACGGCAACTCCCCCAAGGAGTTCCTCTTCGTGTTCGCCTTCGTGCTGCCGTGTGTGGCCATCTGTGTGTGTTACGCGCGCATCTTCTCCATCGTCCACAGAGCCGACAAGAAGAGTCACAGTCACGGTCAACGTTTTCTTAAAGTGAACGGTAAGAGACAGAAGCCCGTGGCCTCGCCCTGCGCCGACCCCCCAACACTACAGACCCTACACGCCACTCCCCTACACGACAGACTCCAGCTGGAGACCCTCGTCAAGCTCTCCACGAGTAGTAACTCCGTGAAGGTGGAGATAGTAGAACCAGGAGAAGAAACTCAGAAACAGCAAAAGGAAAGAGAAGTAGATGCTAACGGCGAGGGAGGAGAGCGAGACAAGAAGGACGGGACGAGGACACCATCTCCAGACACCACGCCTGGTGACGTCACTACAGACGCCAGTTCGCTTCTCAAGACGGAGGCGAACGGCTTCTCCGGCCACAACTCCGACGAGGGTGTTGGGGTGTCGGCGGCAGCTTGTTCCCCCATCAGAATATGTCCTCCCAGCGCCCCTGACTCTCCCGCCTCGGAGAAGTCAGAGACAAAAATAACCAGAGCTATCGAGCGACGGCCGTCAACCATCTCGGGCAAGGGGGGCACCTTCTCCCAGCTCCGTGGCACCTTCCGTAGGACTCGGGCGGGTTCTTTCATCGCTCGCCAGCCTACCCTCAGTGCCAAGGACCGCCGTCTGCTGAAGATGATCTTGGTGATCTTCATGTCGTTCGTGGCGTGTTATCTGCCCATCACACTCGTGAAGACCTTCAGTAAGGACGACAACCCCATCCTCAACATCTTCGGCCTCCTCCTCATCTACATGACCACCTGCATCAACCCCATCATCTACGTGGTCATGTCCTCAGAGTACCGGCAGGCCTACGTCAGCCTCCTCACCTGTAAGCGTGACTTTGATCCCACCAATCGCTCTATTACTAAGATTTCCTGAAAGCGGGCGAAACCTCCCTTGTTCCCACCGCCGAACAAGACATCGAAGTGTGTTATACAAGTCTCGCCAGCCGAGTAGCCTTCCTTGTCCACCCGTGACAACAGTGACGCTTAGTGGAACAAATGTTGACTTGTATACAATCCACAAAACATCATCCTAAGTGATGTAAATAACAAACACATTAATCTTACTTTACGGTGATTTTTTACGAAACTTTTCAATATTTCGTGTTATTCCATACGTGTGTGTGTGTGTGTGTGTGTTAAAGCCGATGTTACACCGCCAGAGGGTCCAACAAGAATATTCGTGTAACAAACCAGCTCTCCTGCCTTCTGTACAGTTTTACACGTTACGTCAGCTCGTCTTCACAGGGCTGACGCTGCTCACTACTGTTATGGAGTCTTAGTTGACTTACTCCGTGTAGTTACAACTCCACCGGAAGTTTCTCTGTGGCGATCAACTCCGTCTCTTTGTATTGTCTCTACCTGTGAGGTGTACTGATCACCTGTTGATTAATAATACTCATTAACATTATTACCGTATACTGCAATATTTCCTCCTACATTATTATATATTGTTCTTAAATCATCACTTTACTATGAGCGTTTGTGTATACAGGTATTCACGACACACAAGTACTGCATGATGCCAGCCGTGAAGACACAGTGCCCTCATCAGTGCCAGTAGTGTGACAGGTATTAACAGGTCTTCCGCTGGACTCTTGTTAACGAAGTAACAGGTGTTTATCTTTCTAATATATATACACACACATCCTCCCTGTACCTGGTAGCATTATACTCACTTTCCTTTAAGTTTTACAAGATGGCAATTGATTATTCACTGCCTTAAAAGTACGTAGGTGAATATTTTAAGTTATCCTGAGAGTTTATTAACTAGCAATCGGTATAATGTTACCAGTTAACAGTCAGAGATGAGATGAACAACTACTAAAAAAAATATGATTATTCCGATGACTTTGTGGAGTATATTGATGGCCAGAGATCCTGAGCTCATCTGGCCAACTCTTCTTAACTTCACACACACACACACATACACACACACACACACACACACACACACACACACACACACACACACACACACACACACACACACACACACACACCAAACGTCCAGCAATGCTAAACAAGACGTCTCATCCTGTCCACTTTTTTATAACTTGGAAAAAATAATAATGACATGTGACAAATGTTAATTGACCTTCCCCTCACACCTATCAAGAGTTTATCCTGTTAATTAGGACAGGTAAGGCACAGGTAAGGGGGTTCTCTATGTCATGACTCACCTGTAATTAAGTCATGTTGAGAAATATTGTTTTGGTTTACTGATAAGAAATAATGTTGGTAATGTTTATGTGTAATATCTAGGGTGATGCTCTTCTCCCTCTCCCTCTCCCTCTCCCTCTTTCTCCCTCCCCCTCTCCCTCTCACCTCACATTCCCCCTCTCCCTCTCACCTCACCTTCCCCCACTCCCCCATTTCCCATACCCCTTTCCTCTCTTATTCCTACTATTTTTACTCCCTCCCCTCCCTCCCTCCTCCTCTCTCCCCTCCTCTTCTCCTCCTTCCCTTCCTCCTCCTCTTCTTCTCTCTACCATCCTCCCTCCTCTCATTATCATCTAGTAAAGGACACATACGAAGAGGATAACTGATACATAGAGATGAATAAGAGTTAGTAAAGAACACATGAGAAAAAGAAATGCAAAATGAATGATAAATAATGATACATAGTTATAATACAAGACTGAATAGGAATTAATGAAGGATACGTGAAAAGACACATGTTAAGGGACTGAAGAAACATAACACAATAATGAAAATACATATAACAGACACATTAACACGAACTCATGATACATAGATACGTAAAGGAGAAGTAATTGTAGAGGAAGATGTATAAACCGAACTGTCCATCACAGGGTAACGTCTTGCTGGTGTTTTCGTGTTAGTTAAACCAGAATTAAACCACAGTTAAACCACAGTTAAATCACAATAGACTGTTTTTTTATGTTTTATTCCAATGGTATTTTGTTCTCATTGGTGTTTATGTACAGTGTTTACGTCTCTGAGTAAACAAATAAAACGTGGTTGTTTACGTCTCTGAGTAAACAAATAAAACGTGGTTGTTTACGTCTCTGAGTAAACAATTGGTGTTTATATTACCGGTGCTGATGATGTATAAAGATAGTGTGGTGAGAGATAGTGTGGTGAGAGATAGTGTGGTGAGAGATAGTGTGGTGAGAGATAGAGTAATGGTGGGAGATACAGAGATAATCTACTATGGGAAGGATCTTGGAAGTTTTGATATGATGTCACTTGAGAGATGACCATGGGAAATATTTCTCAGTTGGAGATAATGAGAAATGTTTCTCCTGAGAACATTTACTGACTCTAGAAATATTGTGTATAATAAGACTTTAAATATGTGTTGATAATATACACAAAGGAAATGTCTCATGATAATTTTAACTTGAGAATTATTATACATAAAAAATTATCTCGTTTCTGGAAATTTGATTTGTATTCTTTTGATATGAATAAAATAATGCCTATGTATACAAACCAAAGATAAGATGTATTTGTCATTATTTTTGTATCCATAATACATTAATACACACTGACGTCATGCGTTTTAGGGAGGATAATTGTCCATTGTATTATGTAACGAACGAAATCATTAATTACTGTTTTGTTAACGAAATAAATCATCCAATATTTTTTTTTTCATTTCTCTTTAGACTTTCTTCACTATCTTGACGTAAACAAACTTTATCTATATTAACTCAGGTTAGGTTAGGTTATGTTAGGTTAGGCTACGTACTGACACCAATCATTTATAGTTTTGTGTAATATTTCTATGTTATTTCATCTATAAACAGACTATTCCTAAATGACGAAAATAACGAAAACATTGAAATTATCGCCTTGTGACAATTATCCCTAAAACACTTGATATTAACAGTGTTTAGAGACGAATGTTTACTATTTTCTCTATGTCTGTGTCCATTAAATTTACTGGTGTTTAAATCGCATCAATCTATGTTTATTTCCGATCTCTTATTATATAAACACTTTTGCTGATGTTAGGTGCTATGTTTAACTCCTTAAAATGAGAAGTTTAATCGCAGTTTTGGCTACTATGTCATTATGTGATGTTTGTTTAGAATCTGTGTTTAGAGAAATGTTTATAAATTGTTTTTTCTGGCGATGCTGAGTCATGGAGGAGAAACTGTTATAGATGTTTTGTGTTTTGTGAAGAATTAATGAAAGGAAATCATATTTGTTTTATCATTAGAGGATTTATGTATAATTTCTAAGTAACGTTTTTGAGTCTATAAATAAATCATATATTTTACCTCGAATATTATACAAATTAATAGTTACATGACAGGTAGTTATACAAATTACTATAATCTCTGGACAAGTTAATTATACCAGTTAGTATAATCAAAATCAGAAAACAATTATACCACCTATAAACATTCAAAATTAAATATCCATTATATCATTTACTCAAAAACTTTTATAATAGCCAAAATTTATATACTATAACTTGTATAAACAAATATACTATGGAATTAGGTTTACACAGTACATATAAAACTATCTCAGACTTGAAGGTCTTTTTCCACATTAGATGATAAAATTAATAATAAACTGTCATTATTTTACCTCTGAGACAAAGACCCACAAATGTATTTTAGTCGAGGATTTGGTTTGTGTTTCAATAAGGTATCTTACACGAAAGTCTCCAGGACAAAGCCTTAACGCAGTGAGTGTGGGTGTGAGGAGGAAGATTAGAGAGGAAGAGAAAGAAGAGGAGGAAGAAGAGAAAGAAGGGGAGGAAGAAGAGAAAGAAGAGGAGGAAGAAGAGAAAGAAGAGGAGGAAGAAGAAAAAGAAGAGGAGGAAGAAGAGAAAGAAGAGGAGGAAGAAGAGAAAGAAGAGGAGGATGAAGAAAAAGAAGAGGAAGGTGAACAGAAAGAAGAAGAGGAAGAAAACAAACAAGTAAGAGAAGAGGAGGAAGAAAAAGAAGAAGAGGAAGGAGAAGAGGACGAAAAAGAGGAGGAGGAGTAGGTATTTCTAGATAGGAATGATGGGAAAGTAACTTTCTCGGGCCAGTGTCTGGGGAAGTGCCTTAGCAATATGTACAATAAGGGTGTAGGTCAAACGGGTCCTTGTCCAAACGGGCCCCAACCTACCCTAACCTAGCTTGACGTCTAACCTAACCTAACTATAGTAACTAGGGCCCAATAGAACTGGACCCCATTTCCAATACTTGACGTTAGGTTTAGTTAAGTTAGATAAGGTTAGGTCAGGTCAGGTCCGGGTCTATTTGAAGTGGGGCCCGTTTGACCAAACACCTACATACACTGCTTCGTAAATCTCCGTTGTTATTTTTTCTTTTTTACAAGTTTGGTCAAGACCCCATGAAGGTCATTTAGAGAGCTAAGTTTTATACATGTAGAGAGAGACAGGTGTGTATGAACGCATGTAGAGAGAGACAGGTGTGTATGAACGCATGTAGAGAGAGACAGGTGTGCATGAACGCCTTAACAGGTATAAAATATATAGTGCTGATGATGATGGGGAAAATAAAAATGGTGATAATTATGATCAGGTTATGAGATTGTCTTCACTATAGACTGAGTTAATCCTTGTCACCATCACCAACACCATAGTGAGTTAATTAATATAATGTTCTTCTCAATTTACCTCTATGATATAACTCCCTTCAACCATCCATTACTCTTGCCAAGGATGTTTTGCTTTACACGTCATTTACAACTTTTTTCTATAATATGAGATAAACAAACTATGTAACTCTAACCATCTTTTCTCCTTCAATATGCTCATCAATATACATGTTTGTGTGTTTGGTTAAATGGTGCTTTTTGGCATTGCTGTTTAGGGGACAATTTGTGTATGTGTGTTTTGGGGATGGTTCAGTGGCTAGTCTTCAGGAGCAGTCATAGGTAGGGCACAGGTATGGTGGAGTCACAGGTAGGTGGGGCACTGATGGGTCAATGACAGGTGGGGCACAGGTAGGTGGGGCACTGATGGGTCAATGACAGGTGGGGCACAGGTAGGTGGGGCACTGATGGAGCAATGATAGGTGGGGCACAGGTAGGGTGGGTCAGTCACAGGTAGGTCACAGGTAGGGTGGGTCAATCACAGGTAGGTCACAGATAGGGTGGGTCAATCACAGGTAGGTCACAGATAGGGTGGGTCAATCACAGGTAGGTCACAGATAGGGTGGGTCAATCACAGGTAAAATACACTCTAAAACACACTTACAAACTAACATACACTCACATAAGTCAAACAACAAGATAACATCCCCAAGACACACATTTCCCAATACACTGAAGAATCTCACGGTAACCAACCACTCACTGACCATTGACTGGCTTGACTGTACCGGTAAAAGCATGACACTCACCTTGACAGTCACCTCCACGAGAGACAACAAAAGCGGTGATATTCTCTCCAGCGTAAAATTCCCTCCAGTCGATGAGGCTCTGAGATCGCCACCTACGCCTCCACTGGTGATAAAAAAAAGACCCTCTTACCGTGGAGATAATCACCTTTATAAATATATATATCTATAGCCTTTATGTACCCCCAGACCTAAGGGTGATACTCGCTTGGTGATGTAGAGTGAGGGTAACGTCTTTGTATCTAAGCCACAAGACCCCCCAAGCCCTCCTCACCTCTCTCTCTCTCTCTCTCTCTCTCTCTCTAACAATGCAATATTGAATAGGGTGGGAGATGGGAAGGAGTGATCTGAGTGTGTGGTGGAGTGTGTTGCGTGGGAGTGTTGTGTGGAGTGTGTTGTTTTGTTCTCCTCTCTTGAGTTGGTCTTATATACCCAGTGGTCATGAGGTGAGAAAAGTTGAAGAAATGTAAGAGAAATAGACAAAAAGAGACAGAGAACGAGAGTAATAAAGATAAATGGAGATATTGGAAGTAAAGAAAGAGAGAAAGACGGAATAAAATAGACTAACGTAACTTATAGACGGGGGAAGTGAGAGAGAGAGAGAGACCTTAGAGAGACAATAGATAGGTGAGAAAGCCATAAAAGAATAAAGAGAAACGAACAAAAATATACACATAGTTATAGACGAACAAAAAAACAGCTGATACTACAATAACAAAAATCAGCTGATGACAATAACAGACTCCTGACCACCACCACCACCACCACAACCACAACCACAACCACCATCGCCATTACTCTTGGTCTCAGGTCTCGTGGGGGTCACATATATCACCCCTTCTTGTGTACGTGACCTGAAACTAGTGTCAGGGTTATCTAGGGTTATGCTATGGTTATGTGAGGTCTCGTAGGGTCACATACAACACCCCCTCTTCCGTACGTGACCTGGAACTACTGTCAGGGTTATGCTATGGCTATGTAAAGTCTCGTAGGGTCACATACAATACCCCTTATTGTGTACGTGACCTGGATATAGCGACAGGATGATGTATGTTGTTGTTACGTCAAGGTTCTGTAAAAATGTCACGCTACAACATGTTCTCAACTTTGCTAAAACTCAAATAATCTTATCAACATGTAGCTTTTACTGTCAACATGTTACTGGAAATAAATTCTTGAGTATTAACGATGTCTTTTAGTGTAACCTGCCGTGTGTGTGTCTCGCCATCCAACATGCCTGTCTAGTTACATCACCTCAAAAGTTTGCAGCTCTCGGAAAATTTTGCATGATAGCGGGAAGTAATATTTACACGAATTCTGTTGTCAGGTCTTCAGAATATCTTGGACTTCATAGAGCTAGAGAGAGAGAGAGAGAGAGACGGTATTGCTGTAGTTCCTCTTCCTCCTCTTCCTCCTCCCCCTCCTCTTTTTCTTCCTCCTCCTCCTCTTCTTCTTCCTTGTTATCCTCTTCCTCCTCCTCCTCCTTCCTTGTTATCCACTTCCTCCTCCTCCTCGTCTCCCCGCACCTGACACCCAAAATGTAATAACTTGGCCTCAAGGGAACTGGATTCCAGGCCTCCAGTAGATCGAGGAAGAAGAGAGGAAAAAAGAAAGAGTAGGAGGAGGAAATGGAAGAGGAAGGGAAGGAGGAAGAGAGAAAGAAAGAGTAGTAGTGGCAGTACTGTGTAGGGTAAACAGTGAGGCAGTACTGTGTAGGGTAAACAGTGAGGCAGTACTGTGTAGGTAAACAGTGAGGCAGTACTGTGTAGGGTAAACAGTGAGGCAGTACTGTGTAGGTAAACAGTGAGGCAGTACTGTGTAGGTAAACAGTGAGGCAGTACTGTGTAGGTAAACAGTGAGGCAGTACTGTGTAGGTAAACAGTGAGGCAGTACTGTGTAGGGTAAACAGTGAGGCAGTACTGTGTAGGTAAACAGTGAGGCAGTACTGTGTAGGGTGAAACAGTGAGGCAGTACTGTGTAGGGTAAACAGTGAGGCAGTACTGTGTAGGTAAACAGTGAGGCAGTACTGTGTAGGGTAAACAGTGAGGCAGTACTGTGTAGGTAAACAGTGAGGCAATACTGTGTAGGAGTGGAGCAGTACTGTGTAGGTAAACAGTGAGGCAGTACTGTGTAGGTAAACAGTGAGGCAGTACTGTGTAGGTAAACAGTGAGGCAGTGCTGTGTAGGTAAACAGTGAGGCAGTACTGTGTAGGTAAACAGTGAGGCAGTACTGTGTAGGGTAAACAGTGAGGCAGTACTGTGTAGGTAAACAGTGAGGCAGTACTGTGTAGGTAAACAGTGAGGCAGTACTGTGTAGGTAAACAGTGAGGCAGTACTGTGTAGGTAAACAGTGAGGCAGTACTGTGTAGGTAAACAGTGAGGCAACTCTAATAAGGATAGACAACAATGCCATCAAATGCTTGTGTACATAGACAGTGTAGGTATACAAACAATGGTAAACAGTAAGTTTATCAATCAAATATAATACGATACAAACATTAAAAGCTTCTTGTCTCCTCTTGTATTAACAGTATATGTGTGTAAACGAGTAATATGAGAGGTGCAGTACATTAGAATAGTTTACCCTCCAAAAACTGGTTATGGTTTTCTATGGTATAATATGTACAAAGTCTACGGGAATTGCACTCCATGTTTCAGTTATTGTTAAGTGAATATGATAATAAAATTTCTTTAACCTTTGACCTTTATGGTAAATTCCTTTGACAGTTTGTGCAATGAGCTTGTAGTGAGTATGTGTAAATGATGTGGGCTGTAAAACATAAATTCAGTACACACACAACTGATTGACGTCATCACTAGATTGAGCACTCTTGGCCAACGAGGAACTAACTTTATGAGAAGACCGTGCAGCAGTTATTACCGTGTGGCAAGTCACTCAGTGGAGCCTGAGGAGATGTTATATCTTACCTCCGACATTTGACCATAACAGTGACGCTTCTCTACACAGTTCGGACGGTACTTTTGCCATAACCAGATCCCTGCTCCTCCGTTTACCCGGGAAATGCCTCGAGGAAAAAGCTCCACTTAACTATGAAACTCATAAAAAACTCATAAACTAAGAGAAACTTTCTTAAGGCGTCTCTAGAAGGGGTCGAGGCGTCGTAATACCGGAGGAGTAATATAAAGACCATTCTCAGGCACCAATAAGAGGCTCGCTAGGGAAACTGCAGGACTTTCTTGTGGGGGGCAAGGAGTATCGGAGGAAATTTAGTCAGCTGGAGGAAATAGTTCTGGCGGGGAAAGTTTTGGGAATGAGTGACGGGGTGAGTGACCACTAGGAGAGTAGAAAGTGTGGGGAAGGAGAATTACCTATGTTTCCTGAGGTAGAGACATAGATAGAGAGATAGGTTGAGACATAGGTAGAGACATAGGTAGAGAGATAGGTAGAGACATAGGTAGAGACATAGGTAGAGAGACATGTAAAGAATACAATAAAACACAATAAATGTAAAACAAAACAAAACAAAACACAATACAAAATAATAAAACATAATAAAAATAAAAAACAAACACGAAAATCACCTCTAACACGCGACAATACGGGGAAACAATAGTCTTCCTCTGGCCAATTTGTGGTGGCAGGCGCAGAGGCATTTACACACTTGGCTGTACATTTACCTACAAGTTTGTGAATAGTTATACCGAGGAGGAAGTGTATTTACGGTCAGCTGTGTTCAGGTTACCACATTCACCTCACCTTAGATTACCTGAGTGTTTAGGAGGGTGGTGGAGACACACACACACACACACACACACACACACACACACACACACACACACACACACACACACACACACACACACACACACACACACACACACAGACACACACACACACACACACACACACACACACACACACACACACACACACACACACACACACACACACACACACACACACACACACACACACACACACACACACACACCTCCACACACACACACACACACACACACACACACACACACACACACACACACACACCCTCCACACACACACACACACACACACACACACACACACACACACACACACACACACACACACACCTCTCCACACACACACACACACACACACACACACCTAACTTTATACCGTCCAGTGAAGCTTCCTCCCACTTTCAGATGTTCCCCAATCTTCACCTGTCGTCTCTCCTCATCCTCCCCGGAAGTCACAATGCAATGAAATGCCGATCAGTGGTGAGTGAAGGGAGGAAGGAAGGAATGAAGGAAGGGAGTGAGTGAGTGAGGAAGGAAGGAATGAAGGAATGAGGAATGACGACTAAGAGCTGAGGACTGGGGACTGAGGACTGAGGACTGAGGACTGAGAACTGAGAACTGAGAACTGAGAACTGGGGACTGGGGACTTTCCGCCATCAAACACACACGTAAATGCACCAACTTCCACTCTAGTTGCTGACGGCGGCACAAAATGAGTCCTGATTTTTTGTGTGTGTGTCACAGTTGGTCAGTGAAGGGACGAAGAAAAAGAAAAAAATATCACTGGAATCTTTGAACCAAAATTTCCTTTTCACTTTTCAAGGATTTTTTTTCTCCTTCTCTTTTTTAAGTTTGTTTGTAATTCTTTATTTGTTTCTGTCATTCGTTGTGTGTTTGTTACAATCGAGTACACGTGTTGTTATATATTGCCTCAAGACTGTAAGAATATTGTGGTTATCTTAATAATCTAGAATTACTAAACAAACACTCTTTTTTTTATTAAGTTATGTCACTGTGCTTAAATCTAAGGAGTACAGTAATTAATCCTTCATCTGTAAAAAATGGAAATAGAAAAATAAAAAAATAAACGTAATTTGAAGGTTAAAAACGATATTGAGAAAGTTTTTTTTAAATATTCCTATGTAAAACTGAGAGAAATGTCTATGAACAATTTTACATCATAGAACACGCGCACACACACACACACACACACACACACACACACACTGGAGTAATAGACGTCAAACAGCCACATTATATCAGGCAACTTGGTTTTCCTGTTTTGAAATTTCCTCCAAAATCTCGAATTCTTATTTTCCTTCCAGTATGTGTATTTAAGTGCGTGTGTGTGTGTGTGTGTGTGTGTGTCGATGCACTAATAC